ATTCCAAATAAAGAGTCTTGATTCCAATACTAATGAGACAGGAAGGGTACTTGTGAGCATCCCACAGCAAGTCAGAAATGGTCAGTCCACAGCGGGCTCATTCCAGAGGCTCGACAGCATGAGGCAGCACCGTAGACTAACATCCGTCTCGGCCATGAAAAGGTGGATTATTTTTAAAATGGTGTTTTCCTTCCTTAATTTTTGGTCAGTGAAGCTAGCACTCGTTTGCTGAAGGGCAGAACAGTGACCAAGTCACACCAATTATTCATGATAAAGCAACCGAGAGGATGAGTCTGTGCTTAATTCAAGAATAGCCAGCAGGAGAGAGGACGCTGGGAGTTCGCCACCATGGCTGGCGCGCTCTCAAAGGAGGAGGAGTTACCAGATGAATTCACAAAGGTGGGCAGGTCTATACAGAACACTGAATGCTGTGTGTAACTCCTCATGACATCCCAAGAAACAGGAACACCACACAATGTATATACTTTGATTTACACATTCCGTTACAAAGGAAAAAAAAGAAACAAAACAAAAAACAAGACACCATTACAATTCTGTAACTGTGTTAACTGCAATAGAAACCAAAGTCTAGAGTCTGACAGGTAACCAAAAAAAGGGTTTATCACTTAGGTTATATAGCAAAAGTGTTGATGTATATTATATATAGTAGTATAAATAATAAAAAAGTATTATTTAAATTAGATCACAGTGCTGCATCATGTGCCTAACAGTGTCTGATATAGTACTGGTGGGCTGGGACCTACAACACAAAGAACTGAACTGTCAACACTGGAAAGTCACAATCAAGAGGGGACATATGTTCCAATGTTTTCTTTTGGTGGCAAAAAAAAAAAAATAAAACTAAAAACCCTGCTGAAGATGAAAGAAAAGGACTTCTCTATAGAACATAGAAATCAGTCTACACATCTGGGCAGCTGTGATCCACCAGAAAGAAAGGAGTCCCAACCTGAATAAGGTTTGAAAGGGGAAAGAGAAATCACACTGAATTTAGTCTAATCCCATATATGGGAAAACTTCCCGTTCCCATCTCTTGCCCTAACTCTGGCATCATGTCATAGGCTTCTCCACCCCCCAAGAGAGAGTCTAGAGGTTGGAGTGGCATCAATAAAACCCAAATTGGTGGCTTGGGACATTGTACATGGGCCTGCTGTGTTGGGACTCTAGGCACCAAAACCACCCCATCTCTTGCTCGGGCACCACTGAATGCAACAATCCTTCTAGAAAGCTCCATGATAGGAACTGTTATGAACAGGAAGCACTAGACATGCTAATGACGCTACAGGAAAAACCCACTCTTGGGAAAGGGCACCAACCCATTTCTCCGTAAAAGGCTCAGCCCCAAGATGGAGACCTACCCTGGTCATCCTGACCACGGTTTCCTTACACCACAATCCGCGTGTGGGTTTGGTTCAGCTTCAGTTTCAGAGAGCCAACTTTACCGAAAGAACTCACTCTTGAAAAATATACTGACTGGAGATGCAGAGGGAAATAGGAGCTGGGTGATATATTAGAAAGAAAAATCTAAGTACGTACGGTGCAGACCCTTTCCAGAAAGGACTAGAGAACGAGGAAAGACCGTCAGGATTGGGATAAAAATGTTGATGTATCACCTGAGAAAAGAAAGCGAGTCTCTCTCTTCTCTTAAATGTGTCCCAGGGCCAACAGCCGGCCGTTGTGATGTCACGGCGCTGATGTGCTCCCGAAGCATCTGTAAATATTGCTATAGTTCCCCATCCCCCCACCCCCGCCCCGTGTGAGTACGTGAGATACTGGAATGACACATGAACCGCCACTTCTCCCCACAGGAGAAATGCAAGGAAAAAAAAAAAAAGAAAAAACAAAACAAAACAAAAACACCACATCCCTTTAACAATGCTCAGGCGATCTGTCAGACTAATGGATACACAGGCTAGTTGGAAAGCTAAAAGAACACCTGACACTTGGGAAGGAAGTCCAACACTGAAGTGAATTACACTTAAGCAAAATATTCTTTCACAAATAGGCTTGTGCTTAAATTCTCTACTGCTCTTGGGGGAGGGGAGAGAGAGGGTGCCTCCTGCCCCTTGGCTTGTTAAGGACATGGACAGCCTCATTCGGCAGACTTCACCACAAACAGCCACATACACATGGATGACTTGATTTTCACCTCAACAGTCAAAATACAGAGTTAAACACAATTGAGCCATTGTTTTGGTTACGCATAATGTGTTATGCCGCCCAAAACAGAAGGAAAAATAGAAAAAAGTACCCTTACTAAAGTTTCCCCAACAAGTCTTCCAGAAAATTCCAACAGAGGTGCCAAGGGAGGCTCAGGAAAAATAACACTTAGAAAGCTGCCCGATGAGGTATTTATGCAAACGGAGTGGTTCTGGGGATCAGAACACACTTGTATAAGATAGTTTTCCGGATCTCAGGGAGATCAGAAAAGTAAATCACACACACACTGCATCTTGTTATCTCTGAAAGAGGCCTCTGCCCCTTCAGAAAAAAAATGAAACGAGGGGAGATAGCCCGTGTGGGGTTTTCACCGGAAGAAGTCCCCTGCCAGAAACAGTGCTGAGTGCATACCTTTACCTTCAGGTCTGGGGTTGAACATCGTGGGGGTGGGGGTCTTTTGGACTTGGTAAGGTGACAGCAGAGATCAAAGCGTGGCTCAGGGATCCAGAGCTGTGGATGGCTTGTGGGGTGTCAGAGGTTTGTGGAGAACACACCTGTGCTCTCATCTAACCCTGAATCCCTATGCTGAGAGAGCCCAGGCTGTGGGCCACGTGGGGGTAAATCTAGCCTGCCCTAAAGTGGGAGACTCCCCCCACCCCCCCCCCCCGCTCCCACCCAAAAGCTGCCCTCAGGTTAGGTAGGGGGAAATGCACCGGATAACCTTCCAGGCTCCTGTCCTTCCAGGCTGCTGAGGTTGCCATGGTACCTGGTACTGACAGGTGGACATAACTTTCAGGGCCCACAACTGACCTGTTTTAAGAGTTCAAGGTCATTTTAGCTTCCTTTCTCTCCCAAACATCTGACCCTGAGCCACGGTAGTGTTTTTGTTTTTAAAAGTCCCCTCCATTTGGATGGGGGGCCATATTGTTTTAGGTATTTCTCTTTAGACCTCAAGGAAAAACTTTTTTTTTCTTGGCAAAGGTAACTGGAGTTTCTGGCTTGCGTGACATGGTCTGGTTGTTACTCAGCCCTCACTATCTAGGTGGTCTTAGTCCCAAGGTGGTTTGTGTGCTGAAGTGGCAGAGATGGCCAGCCCCCTTCTCACTGCGGCGAAATCACACCGGTGCAGTAGAACGCTCAGGGCTGCTCCATTCAACCCCTCGATCACTTCCTCCTACCCATGTACCCATCTCTTACCCTCACCCAGTAAGGCCCATTAGCATGTTTCCCCTTCTTCTGGTGAATTTGCATAATTATTCACTGCCTTTTTCCTAGAACCAAATCACGGTAATGATTTTCCTCAAGTAAGCGTCCCGTAACTCTCTTGATTCTATCGTACAACACTTAGTTTGCCCTCGAATTATTGCGTCATGTTAAACACATACAGACATAGGGAAGGACACACTCTTCAGTAGAGAATCAGACGGGGTCGGGGCTGAGTGCAGACAAGGCAGGATCAGAGCTCAACCACCCAAGCCCCTACCAGAGCATGAAGATAAACTTATATTGCAGAGTAAGTTCCCCAACAGTCAGAATTTGTCCCTGAAGAAGGTTAAACCTTAAACGCCTGCTTTGAAAAACCAAACAAAATAAAAACAACGACAACAAAAAAAAAAGAAAGAAGAAGAAGAAGAAGAAGAAAAAGAAAAGAAGAAAAAAAAGGGGAAAAAAGAAAGAAAAAAGAACGAAGGGCCTCTAAGCTTAAGGGCTTAAAAATCAGAGGCATAGTCTTCCCTCTATTCTCTATATTTATATGAAAATAATTCATGCTTCATGCTAAATACATTATTTACCTTACAAGAACTTTGTTATTTTTGAATTAAAAAAAAAAGTTTGTTTTTGTGATTTTTTTTTCTTTTTCTTTTTTCTTTTTTTTTTCCTCAAAGGAATCCATGCATTTGTGGATTGGAAATTTCTGCTGGCTACACTGGCTGAGTGTGAAGAATCACTGATCTTTTCTTATTTTCTTGTTGCAAAAAATGAGTACTGATATTAATTGCAAACCCTTTTTGAGGACAGTACAGGAGTTGTATTGTTTGTCTTGTTTTTGCTTTTGTGAATCCGTGTGTGGATTATGAGGTGTGCCTTTAACCTCATAAGGACACCGTAACACTAATGGCAGTTTCTGTAGCAACCCCCCCCCCCCACTTGGATCAGATTGTTTAGAAGGAAAATCTGTACCATTTTTCCTTTCTTAACAGCTGCTGTCATTCTTGGGCATGATTGCTTTTCCTTGGGCAGTTAAGAGGACACAGCCTGCTTTCTGCATCACACAGGACCAACCTCCAGGCTTATGGCTTTTGGAACATCTTCTTAATTTAACATAGAGCAGAATTCAGTGGTTATCAATGGTTCCAATGATCCCTGTTTTCCCTCCTCAGTCACTGACACCTAATACACCTGAACAGTGGTGGTGGTCACCCTGGGAGGTGTTACCAGGCTCAAGGTTAAGAAGCACAGAGGACTGGCAGGCAGATCCTGGGCTTGCCACACAGCAATGCCGGTGGCATTTCTGGTACAGTGGGGTGCCAGGGTCAAAGGGGACACGTGCTCTTCAGTCTCTGCAATGGCTTCCTAGCCTCACTTCAGACACAACTGACTTTTTAAACCTAAGGGTTGGGCTGAGCAGTGATGACTCTGTTTGCGTGCCCCCAAGGTGGAACATGAGTGTCCCTGTGGCATTAACATGGACATCTCTGTGGGTTTAGCCACAGGTTTCTGACAGGCTGCAGAAAGCAATGGTTACTTTTGGCTTTTTTTTTTTCTTTCGGTTTTTGTATTCAGATAAAGAAAAGCTTTTGTAAAACGGCTGAGTGTCAATATGAGTTTCTATGGCTTCAATCTCCTTTAAACAGAAAATTCTTAAGGGTCCAAAAACAAAGGAGTGGGGGGCAAATTAAAAAACAAAAAGGAAAGAAAGAAAAGAAAACCAAACCAACAAAAGGAAAAAAGAAAAAGAAAAAAATTGCTGATATTGCCACAAATCATTAGAAATCTCCTGACATGCTGAAACCAAATGGCCATAAGTTCAAACAAATCAGAGACTTGTTTCAATTTTTTGCGGTTTCCTTTTGTTCTTTCTGCCCCTTGGCCGTCCGATTGGTGATGTTGTTCAAACAGGACCGAATCCCTGCCAAGTGCAGGAGCGAGCCAGCCGCCTCCTTCATCTCCTCGTCATCACTCTCGGGAGGCTTCTCTGTGCGTCTCTTTTTGAGGGGCAGTGTGTCGCTGGGGACCTTCCTGGCCTTGGCGAAGTGCTGGCGCTTCTTGTGCTGGGATGCGTATCCGCTGTCCCCCAGGGCATCCTTGCCCTCCTTCTGGCTGGGCTTCCGGTCATCCTCCTCCGGTTCACTGTGGCTCTCATGGCTCTGGAAGCTTCCCTCACTGCCCTCCTGGCTCCCCTTCGTGGCAAACTCATAGTGGTCGTCGGCTGAGGAGGAGGAGGAGGAGGAGATAGAGTCGCTGGTGGGAGAGGTGCTCCGAGCGTTGGAGGACTTGGCACTACTGTAGTTGTGGTCCTCCTTGGGATCGCCACTGACCACTGGGGAGCCACATGGCGGCTCACTCTCAGTCCGCATCCGGCAACTGGTGATGCTATTCCTGTAGACAGAGAGGGAACAACAAATTACATCTTCTCTGGGGAAGACATGGGAACATATAGGCTCCTGCAAACCCTGCTAGTAATTCCAAGACAAGGGTAACAGGTATGTGAGCTTTGCAGATGGGGTTCCAGTCCTCACTCTTATCTTTCCTGGTTTTCCCTACACACTCCCAATGGCACCTTCACCAAACCTGCGTGTCTGAGTTGTCAAAATAATACTTTTGAGGCGACAGGCAGAATCTTTCACACACCAGCCAGCCCCAGCACTGAGGAGCAAGACATTGCCAGCAGACGCTGGCTAGGCACCTCAGAGACAAAGACATATTCTCTTCTGAAACTGCTGCATTTACCAGAAGGCTAAATACGACATATAGCAGAGAGCCTGCCTTCTGATGACAATCATTCACTCAATCTGCCAATCACTGAGCATGTGAGAGAGGGGTGTCCCTTCAGCGAGGACCCAGGGGTGCAGTGAACAAAACAGAAGACAAGGCTGGATCATGGAAGAGAGGGCAGTAAGTTACAGTTTCTTGAGCTCCCCACAGACAGATGCCCTACTGAGCCCATAACCATGTTTAGCTGATCCATTTTACATGGATCAGAAATTAGTGCTATGGAGTGACATACTAAAGCCACAGAGGAGGGCAGATTTGGGACTGAAACTGAAATATATGCCTCTGGCTCCACTACCTGGCCCATCTCCCTCCCACAATTCCCTTTAACATGGCTCCCAGCTGGAACTTCACATAAGCTCTCCCAGCACCCCTAATGCCCTGGATGGCTTTTTGTGTTGTGTATCTTTATGTCTGGGAGGCCACTGACCACCCTCTGTCTCCCAACTGCAGTAGGGCATGACTGTGCTAACTTCCGTTGCCCTCCTGATGTAGCTGGCATACAGCAGATGCTCCGGGTAGGTGGAAGCTGGAGGGATGGACGAATGCAGGAGGCAAGGGTTACTTATCGCCAAAGGGAGAAGGACCTGGGCGGGGTGGGGGTCGGGGGAATATTCTGGCAAAACTGGCTTGATGATGCAAAATGGTGACAGTGGGCCAGGCTGGCTGGGAAGTCGTTCTCTGGTTGCCTGCTGTCTTCTCCTAACTCTCCTTTCCCACCCTGAGGTCCCTGCCACTTCCCACTGCCACTGTGTAGATCGCCTGAAGAGTTTCCTTCTCTCAGAAGGATGAGGGGATCCAGCATAAAGACAAAGTTAAGTCCTAGGATAGGAACCCATCATGGGGCTGCTCCAGGATGCAGCCCTGAGCCTTGAGCCTGCCCTCCACACCTTCACCCTGTAAATTGCCTTTCATGGCTGTGTACTGGGTGCACAGACATGGCTGGCGTAGATTACTGGGGAGTAATACAGATACACAGATAAATGTGATTAATTGTATAGCTAGCTCTCAGTAGTTATCAAAAGCAAATACAGCCGGGCGTTGGTGGCGCACGCCTTTAATCCCAGCACTTGGGAGGCAGAGGCAGGCGGATTTCTGAGTTCGAGGCCAGCCTGGTCTACAGAGTGAGTTCCAGGACAGCCAGGGCTACACAGAGAAACCCTGTCTCGAAAAACCAAAAAGAAAAAAAAAAAAAAAAAAAAAGCAAATACAAACCTATGTCCCACCTGTGCTTTCCCTGATCTTTTTGTGTTAAGCATAGATACTATGAAATAAAAAACAAACTTCTACTAATGTAGTAAGCAGTTCCTTAGGAGAACCCAAATACATTTGGACGGGTGAACTGGACCATGACTGGGTTTTAACAAATCAATTTCCTTATGAACCTTTATTTAAAAAAAAAAATCACTGTGAGAATGATGTTTGTGTGGGGCACACATGTGGAGGTCAGAGGGCAACTTCATGGAGTCCTTCCTGGGTTGTCAGGCCTGTTGAGCATCTCCCAGATTTTAGGACAACTTCAGTACCACAGGTCAAACACCAGGAGGGAGAAAACCAGGAGCTGGGGCCTAACTGCTGTCTAGTGGGTCTGGCTGAGGGGCAGTGCCCCCTGAGGTTTTCTCTCCTTCCTTTTAATGAAAACATTGAGGGTAGATGAAGAAATGTCAGGAAGGAAGCCCTGAGAAGTGGACTTCAAGCCAGAGAACTTACTCCTTTAAGTAGATATCTGTTCTGGAGAACCCATTTAGATAAGGGGGAGAAAAGAGGGGTCTCCATGGTCCTAGATCCGTGCTATGGACGGGAGGACCCAGCTATGACAGTATTCCACACCTGGCTTGGAACATCACCCAGCTCAGTCTTCTATGGATAAACAAAAAGGCAGAGAGCCCCGAGACATGGAGTACTAGCTAGTCTTGCTAGCTCTCAAAACTAGATGAGTCAATTGGAACACTTCCCCGAAGTCCCAAGAAGGAAGTCCCAAGAAGGATCTGCACCGTCAGGCAGAAAACCGGCACACACATAGCCTGTCTTTCTGGCTGAAGATGGGCACACTGGTGCACCTTTAGGCTGTGAGAACTGGAATATAGCCGGATCTCATCCTTACTTAAGGAAATTAACTTTCTCTGAGATTTCAGCACGGGTTTATAATCCATCAATTACACACCAAACTCTGCAGGGAGTGACAAGCTCCTTCAAGTATTAATAACTTGGCACCATGTGACTCACGATGGTGTAGGCCAGCTGCACTGAGCTGGTGTCCAATGCCTCCTGCTGCAGGGGTTGTCATTACAGGACACCAAATGCTCAAAAGAAATCAGCCATCCTGAACATGGTGGAAGGTGCATGTCTAACTACAGCCTCCTCCTCAAAACCAAGAACCCCAAACCATTCATTCTTATTAACATGCGATACAGTGGAAACGCCTGCCGTTTCTCAGCATCGGCTGAATTTATAAGTCATGATCTTCACAGTGATCACAGATTAGCATAAATGAAAGCCACCTGATTTTACCAGGCCCCTAGGAGTTCAAACCACAGGCCCAATGAAGCCACGTGTTATGAATCTCAAACCTGTTGTTCATTCTCTTGTCAACAACATGGGAGATAAAGGAAGTGAGACCTTGAGGTAGATGAAGCCAAAAATGATTATTCACATTTGTAACTAAGAAGCTGGGGTGCAGGCTATGCTAATTACTGCTTTTCCCTACAGCTAATGATTTGCTCCTCCCCACTTAAATGGCACGGGTTACCTGGTACCCATGGGTTCCCTATGGAACCTAGTGGTGTCCTTTGGAAGTCCTTCCCAAGGCGCTGACTGACCCCTTGCCAAAGGTGAAAATCGGACAGAATTAACATAGGAACCATGGAAGCAGGGGATCAGAGGCAGCGCAATGCTTTTCTACAAAGGTGACCACGACAAAGAGACACAGGCCAAGCTAGAGGCTTGCACTTCTGACCAGGTGCCAAGGAAGGCACATGAAGAAGATGTTTCTCTGATTACGATACAGAAGGTGTTAGATCCTGTGCAGCTACAGATTTTAGGCATCCAGAGTTCACTAGATAATAAGGGAAGGCTGGCACACCCAAGCTGAGCATCCCTGACGGTCTAAGTGTGATCCTGGGACCCCTAGTGGAACCAGAGAACCAGAGCTGTCCTCTGGATGGGCACTACTCATGCACATGCATTAACACACACGTTCACAGTAATACAAAGCAAGGCAGGTGTTAGCGGACACAAAGACACACTCACATCCACCCTTCCCTACTCCAACACACAGATAGATGCATAGTTTGAAAACAAAGGTGAACAATGGGTCAATCAGGAAGCCAGATGTTCCCTGGAACAAATGCCTACCCCAGGACTGGGGCAAGCATACAGACTGACGGAGGAAGAAAGGGAAGCAGGGATGGAAAACTGATTTTGTCAGCTTCATGGATTTTATAGTCGCTTCAAGGGAGTTAAGATGGACATCGTCCCCCCAGGCTTCCAGAAGTTTGAAAAGCAAATCTTCTCTGGAAGAATGCACTTCAAATTCAACCACAGAGGATTCCAAGTAATTAGCGTGCACAGAACCTAGGTTCATCATTTTAAAAACCATTAAGCACAAGGGAAATACACTACTGTAAGCTGGAGAGGGAACAGAGAAACAACTAGAGAACCCGAACTACAAAGACTGTACATGCTGAGACAAAACACAGAGCAGGAGGTCAGTGTTTTCAATAAACAAAAGAGCTGCAGGAGGTAAGGCAGTCCTGTGACCCTGGTGCTCAGGAGGCTGAGGCAGAAGGGTAGTAAGCTCTGGGCCAGCCTGGGCTATACCACAAGACCCTCTCTTAAGGACTGAAAGATAAATTATATACTCAGTAGCCGAATATGGTTAAGAGATGGGAATGATGGAGAAGGGGTTGAGCAGAAAAACTGGGCATTGGTGCTGAGGAGGTGGCCGGTCCTAAGAGCCTCTTTAGCACCTATGTAAAAGCAGGGAGCTATGGAGTCTGTATATAATCCCCGTGCTGGGGCAGTCGACATGGGGGGATCCCTGGGGCTTCATAGACAGACAGTCTAGCCCAACCCATGAGCTCTAGGCTCCAAAATACCTTATTCAAAATACCTGCCTATATTCCAGAGCTCTTGGGTAGATATAGAGATTAAAACCTCGAGGTCATCCTTACCTATATAGAGAGCTCAAGGTCAACCTTTGCTATAAGAGACTATGTCTCAGAAAACAAAACAAACAAGCAAGCAAACAAACAAACAAAAAACAAACAAAAAACCAAAACCCAAACACAAGAACATTTACATAGATTGGGCTGGACTTTTAGTGGATGAGAAAGCACAGGAAGACTTAACACCTGAATTAATGGCTGAGAATTGATTTTCTAGATCAGAAGAAAGGTACCCATTTACAGATTCAAACAGCCAAGAAATGCTATCAGGATGAACAATGAAATCCACGACTACCTATCACTATCAAATCAAAAGAGTTGAACCAAGACACAAACAAGTAAGGTCACAGGAAACCCAAAGAAATCAGCTAACTAATCAACATAACCTAACCAATTAACCCAAACCACCAAGGACGGCTAAGCAGCCTGGCGCTACAACTT